ACAATTTTAACTTTTAATTAAACAATTTTTTAAATTAAAAAAATTAAATTTAAAAATAGTGACTAGACTAAGTTTGAAGAATTAACAAATGCAAACGGGTGTTTTAAAAAATAAGCAACAGAAAAAAAAATTAGTTAATTTAATTAACATCAATTTAATAAATCAAACCGGAAAATATTTTATTGGCTGAGCGACAGAATATAATATTATGTTCTGCAAACCATATACATACATATCTAAATTAAGATTATATTTTATCAAAATATTATTGATACATAACAAAAAATTTTAAATTTTTTGAGAATTTTATGATAATTTCAGGAAGTTTACTAAGATAATTGCATATTTTTGTTTTTTTTTTTTTTTTTCAATTAATTGAATAAAATTATTCTGGTCCCGGTGGTGTGGTTTCTGCACCAAAATAGAAGTGAACATTGCATAACTTGAGGGGCTTGTTTTTTCCGGTTTCCGGACATTTAGATTTTGATTTCAAAACAAAAATTTGTTTGTAAATTTAACACATAATTTACATAAATGTTGCAATATTTTAAGGAATTTCAATTGAATAATAATTGCAAACCATTTTTTTAATTGTATTAAAATGTAAATTCGCTATATCATTATATAAGTGTCATAGTTATCAGAGATTTTATTATGCCATTCATGTGCGGTATCTGTCCTAATACGTAAGAACTTATATGTATAACTGAACACTGTTAGTATTGAATTAAATGTGAAAAACTCAGTTATTATTTCACTTTTAACAGCTATTTGCTACTTGTTAGGCATTTTAAATAAAAATTATTAAAGGTTATCTATAATCACATGAATTTAAACATGAAAAATTTTATCGTTTTTTTTTTTGTTTATTCTTCTATTAATTTTTTTTTTTCCTTTTTGATTTTATACAACATTTAACTCACGTGACTTGAAAAAATAATATGAACAACTTACCTACATATTTTTTTTTTTATATTATTTTCCATGTTTGTTTTCATGTATAACTTATTCAAAAAAAAAAAAAATTTTTTTTTATTTAATAATTTCATTGTCGAGGATAAAATTAAAATCTTTTAATTGTAATAGTAAATTATTAACAAATACAAATATAAAATATATGTATTATTATTTTATATTATTCTAGAATTATTAGAATTAAAATTTATATGTATGTACGGATTTATATGTATGTATGTATGGATAATAGCGAGTAATATAGCAGTTATTCTTTTCACTAATTAAGATTAAAATGACGGTAGAAGATAACTGAATAGGTAAATATACAATGTACATACATTCATACAATCTTTTTAATGAATTTCGATAAAATTCGTAGAATGTGTCGATAAATGTGTATTTTTTTTTTTGGAATAATGTGATGACGCTTGTAAAAGTTTTACAAAATCTAAATTAAATTTAATACAAAATTATCCAAATCAAATTTAAATTACATGCAGCCACAATCTGTATATAAATCTGATAGATTTGTAGATTAGGCTAATTTTGACATTTTTTGCAATAATTTAAGCATTTTAAACCTAAGCGTTTTTTTGTTATTTCTAACGGTCGATATGCACCTAATTATAGTTGCTGTTGCTGATTTAATGTCATTATTAAGCAAGTCGTTTGTACCCAAAAAAATTGAATGGCGACATTTGGATTGATTTTTAGCTGCAGATCCCTCCAGAACGTAGAATCAATCGTTTTGAGGGGGGTAATTATGGTTAACATTTTGTTCTTTGCACAATTACACACCTTTTCTTGTCATAAGAGTGCATATACGTTACATACATATACGTTGACTTAGCTATAGACGTATCGTTTTCAGACTATTTTTTTAATATGTATGTATGTCTGTATAGGTAGGTATATTAACATTTTTTTTTATTTCATGAAAACAAAATCTAGGGAAATTCAATGTATGAGCATATTATTTGCAATATAATTTACATTATTAATTATCATAATTTATAAATTTGCATATTTTATTTTTTAAATATATTAAATGTCACGATTTTAAATATGAAATTTATTTCAGTTTTGTCAGTTTTAACACGCTATTTCCACTTGTGTCATAAGTATTAATCTCTAATTTTAAACAAACCATATAAATAAAGAAGTTATTAGAATATTAGGTTTTTTTTTGTTTACAGAAAATAAATATATTCTTTCTGTGATTCAAAAAAACTTACAGCTTTTTCTTGAATAATTCTTTTATTGTACATTTGTATATGAACAGATCCATTGGCAATCTATTTTTAATTGTAATTTTAAATGTGATTACAATTTCAATTCATCCAGTATGTTAAAAATTATTTAGAAAATTATTGATAATAAATTCGAATGTATAAATATTAAAAGTACTTAACCATATACTCGCATATTATTTACTTGTACAAAAGTATAAGTATGCATACGTATAAATTAACGTCAAAAACATCTTTACATAGAATTAAAAGAAAGAAAAAAAAATTAAAAAAGCTTGTAAAAATAAACACGGTCATTAAATTTTTGCATAATTCTAAGAAAAAAAATTTACTTTATTGTAATTTTATACAAAATCTATATCTATACATAAATAAATATGTGTACATGTATATAAATAAATATAAAAATATTCACTAATACTACATTCTTATATTATACAACAAATTAATTGGTATGATAAAAACAAATTTAATTTTCTACAAAAATAAAAAAAAGGAAAAAAAACCAAAATGATTCATTCGCTAAATCAAATCTTGAAGCCATGATCGAATTCCAATAATAAAAATTATATATACATATATACATATACGTATATCCACATATTATGTGTGATTGTATAAGTACTTAGATACTTACAAATAGGAGAGTTGTTAAACAAATGCAGATATTTGATGGAAAAATTAAAAATTTTTTACTTAAAAATGAGAGAGATATTATATTTATTATATTTCATTGTAATATTTATATGATAGGTAATAATAAATTAATATGTATACAAACATTTATACATACATTTATACGTATGCATTTAGTTAATCAAAGTTTTGTGATATTACTGTATTAGATATCTATAATAATACTTACATACTTATTTAATAATTCAGAAAATATTTAATTTTAAATAATAGACAATAGTTACGAAATCACAATAAAATGAATAATTTAATTCTAGTATACTATTTCATGAAATTTTTTTTAACACTAAAGAATAAATTTACAACCTATACATACATCTATTAGTTATGATTAAACACTTATATACAAAAAAATATTAAATTATTTATTTGAATTTAATATGAAATTCAATTGTATATTCAAATCTGTTAAAGAAAATGATAAATTATATAACTTATAGAAAGGGACATGAATTTTAAAACGTATAGCTAATATCGAAAATAGAAATTCACTTATAGCTTTTAAATAAATCTTGAATTTAATGGAATCCTAGCTCTTACAAAATTTGTTAAGAATTTCGACTGTATCTTAAGTTTTTATTTCTTTTTTTTTAAATTTCACTGCATTTCTCCTTTTTCAATTTTAATTTAATTGAATTAATTCTCCCTTTTCAATAATTTACTGATGTATCCTCAAATGCTCATTTATGAGATTCACATATGTATATACATAAATGTAACATGAAATAATGAATTAAGTATAAGCCTAAGTAGAGAAAACTAAAATTAAAATAGCTCAATATCTTTGCCCCAAACTGATGATTGTACTTACAACTCACATACTCAGACAAAAATAATAAAACATTGAGAATTCTAATTTAATTTATTCATTGCAAATATTTCAATTTATGAAATAAAAAACTTTTTGATTTAAAAAATACAAAGTCATATGAAAAATTGATATGAAATTTAATAACAAACATAGGTATACAATATGGTGTGTATACCGTTTATATGACCGCAATAAAATATTATAAAAATAAAAATAAGAAAAATAAAATTTATAAGTTATTGGACGACAAAATCAATTTGATTTCGTCTTCTTATAATAGAGCATCGTGGAATTTTAACATTCATTTTAAAAATTAAATTTTGATATATTCATTACGCGGTTTTTTGTTTCAAGTATTTATTAATTTTTCTAACTCAAAAAATTTAAAAATATATTAAATATAATGTGTTATAGTGCATAATCATTATAATAAAATTCGCTGAAAATGTGAATTTATCTAACTAATAAACATATGTTTATCCCACTTTATCATAATAATTGTAGAACACAAGATAGGCATGCAAATGAAAACCTCAGGTTCATATGGATTAAAGTTTATTACTGTCTATAATATGACAAATTTTTCAATTCGAAAAAAAGTAAACTGAGATTATTTTGTCATTTCAACTTCGTTATAGGAAAAATTTCGCTACTATTATTTATAATATTGTAAAATAATATGTAGGTATTGTATTTATATTTTATTATAATTGTTTTAAAGAAAATTATTTTAAATAATATAGTTACTGTACTCATTAATGATATTAAAAATTTATTGACATAAGTAATTAGCAATTATTAAATTACTAAAAATAATATTTCAAATTTGAAAAAGAAAAAAAAGAGCAATTCAGCGAAAAATCCACAATAACGTTATTATTTTTTATATAATATATAAATAAAATAATTTATTAATGTGTATTACTTACTGAAAAAGAAATATAGGTTATTAAGCATTACTTAGTAATTTGAAAAAAAAAATTATGAAAAATTTAGTGTCAGCATTGATAATATTCAAATAAATAATATTATTTTACAAATTAATTTATGTTGTATATATTTATTGGAACCATATAAATTTTAGTCATATTGGAAGCACATAAGTTAGTAATATAACTAGCATAAGAGTGCTAGTTATCTTTCATGGTTTTAGTAAACTGTTTGTAAATGTCTGTTAGATTTTTTTCGTTAGACAGCAACTATTTAACAAATTACTAAAACATTTGACTAAATTTAAAATTTTTCCATAATTTTTAATTTTTTTTTTTTATTTTTGTAATTTTTAGCACTTGGTGCGGCATATGGCACAGCAAAATCAGGCACAGGTATCGCTGCAATGTCAGTGATGCGACCTGAATTGATTATGAAATCTATCATTCCTGTTGTCATGGCTGGTATTATTGCTATTTATGGACTGGTCGTAGCGGTTCTTATTGCCGGTAATTTAGGTGAAGCGCCTGGTTACACATTATATAAGTAAGTTTAATATTAATTTGATCAATTTTGGAGAAAAAAAAAACGTAACACATCGTTAATCATCTTAATATAAATTTTTTTATTTTTCAAAAAAAAAAAACTTACAATGTTCTTTTGCAATAATAAATTTATTTAAATGTAATAAAATTTCATTTTAGGGGCTTTATTCATTTGGGAGCCGGTTTAGCTGTCGGATTTTCAGGATTGGCAGCTGGTTTTGCAATCGGTATTGTTGGTGATGCTGGTGTAAGAGGTACAGCACAACAACCACGTTTATTCGTTGGTATGATTTTGATCCTTATTTTCGCTGAAGTATTAGGTCTGTACGGTCTCATTGTCGCTATTTACTTGTACACAAAATAAATAGCTAATTTTAGGAGACTATTATTTTTCAAATTTTTATCTTAATTTCTTTTAAATTTATTGATTCATTTTTTTTTTTTTTGTTTTGATTTCGCCAATTGTATGTTTAGTTTTTTTCTTACTTTTTAATTTTCTGTTATAATTTTTCTTTATCCTTTATAATAATAATTATATTATAAATTTAAAATAAAATTTCTTTTGTAAATTTTTCGTCATCCACAAGCAAAACTAAGAAAAAAATCATAATTATATACAAAAAATAAATAAGAAAATTAAAATAATTAATTATATAATAAGCTCATTTTCTCTTGGAAATAATTAAAGAAACAAAAACAAATTAAAAGTATAATAAAAAAATATTTAAAAAAGGATGTATTCATTGTTATCATTATTATTATTACAATTATAATTATTAAAAGAAATTAATTAATTATATGAAAAGTGAGGAGAAAACCAATACAAAAACAAAAATTAAGAAAAAGTTAGAATCCAAATTTTAATTAATTGAAAACAAAAAAAGCGAAAAAGGATTAAACTAAACAAAAAATAAATAAATAAGGAAACAATATTATATATGTATAAATTAAATTAAAATAAAAACAAATAACAAAAAGAAAATATGTAATATTAAATGTAAATTTTATTTGTTTAATGAAAATATATTTAATAAAATAATAAATTAATTAAAAAAAATCAAAGAAAAATTGTATAAGATATATAAAATAAACAGTCACCACCACACTTAAAGTATTGAATTTTAAAATTTAATTTTTTACATTAATTGGGGTGCCTTCAGAATATCTTGATTATTATCCTCAAGCCCTAAGATTTTTGAAAATTTTATTAATTTTCAATAGTATATTGAAAACAAAATTCGAAATCACTACGATTTTTGAAAATATTTTATTTTTACATATAAAAATAAAAAAAAATTTACTTTAGCAAGTTTACTTTTACAAAATTGAAAGATAAAATATTCAGTGTTACTATATATCCAAAAATAAATAGTATTCATTATAAATGTACTTGGCAATTATATTTTCATTTAATTCCATTCACTTTAAATGCCAAAAACATTCATGATTTATAATTGATAAACTGGAAGCACTTCTTAGAAATATACATATGTATGAGTACGTAGATATATTCGCTTTATTTTTTTTTTTGTAATATATCAATATTTTTTTATTATAATTACTGGGAAAATTTTATAAAAAGCTGGGTACTTGACCATTTTGCCTAATATATTCATAAAATATAATATCATTATCATATTTTAAATTGAGTCAATCAAATTCAAATCACAAATTTAGAAATGAAAAAAAAAATAATAAACATAATGCGAAATTAGATTTTTCGGAGTTCTGTAAAAAAAGGGAATAACTTCATTCTAAATAATAAGATCTCAATTTGTCATTGATAATTTCTGAGTATAGATATAAGCTAAAATTTTCCATAAAAGATTAAAAATATTGATTCGAATTCTGATTTGAAATGAAACGTTTACATTTTTTTAAATTTCTCTAAATTTGATCAAAGGGTTTTGGTTTTCGATTTAAAACAACATTTATGTTTTGTATTATCTTCAAACATTCATTTCCTTAATGCTTTGAAATAGGATGTATTTAAGTTTTTGAAAAACAAATTATTGTTGATGCATATATAAAAATTAAATTTCATAAATACAAAAACTAAGGTGTAAACTAAACTAAAATGAAGCGTTTGTCGTCTCAACTTTATATAAAACATAAAACAGAAACTATTTTAATAATTAATTAAATTCTTATGTTGTTGTTCTTTGTAAAATAGTAAAAATTAATTATTAATAATTATAAAAACATAAAAAAAAAAAACAAAAAAAAATAAAAAAAAAAAACAATTGAAAAATTTAAACCAAAATGTAAGAAGTGAAATAATGTAATTTACAATACACGTTTAATTTTTCCGATTAGATTTTTATTTTTTAATTTTTAAATTTAAAAAAATGTGAAATATTGTAATAAGAATAAATATATAAATAAAATAATATAAAAAAAGTAAATAAATAAATCTGCCAACAACAGAATTGTATGATTGTTATTATTTTACTTAAATAAAATGTCAAAAGAGGAATCTAAATAACGTGCATAGATGTTTGCTTTGAAAATGAGAAATAGGCAAACGTTAATTCTGTTTTTATTTAATATAATTATATGCATATATAATACGGAATAGAAAAATTTACAAAAACTTAAAAAACAGAGAGTCTTATATAAATGGGACGGCAAACAATTCAAAATTTTCGCGAAGATAAGACCCAAAAATGATTCAAAGGTCTAAATAAAATTTATTCTAGCTTAATAAGATGTGTAGAGAAAAAAAGGAACTAACAACTTTGAAAAAAAAGAAAAGCATTAAATAGTCAGAGAAATAACCAAAATAGCTTTTGAATAATATGTTAGTTTTTTTTTTTTGTATATGAACAATTGTCATCATTATAAAAAATAAATCGAGTCACATTCTTTGAAAAAATAATGTCGCAAACAAATAGTATAAGATGGTTTAAAATTTGGTAATTCCCATTTTCTTTTTCAAGCTCTTAAGAAAATTATCTAACATAGATTGTTTGTTTGTTCGTTCCAAATTTTTTTTTTTGGAATATTTGGCTTTGAATAGCTGTTTAAAGCTAATTAGCTATGTAAATAAATTCTTCGATATCACAAACTTTAAATTAAAATTTAAATTAAATTTTTAAAAAATTTACAATACCAAATTCTTAATTAATTTCAAAGTTCTACGTGAAAACGACTATAAGATTTAAAAACTCAATCGAACACAAAACTTAGAGAAGACCACTATTGTACTTAATGCTTTATGTAAAATAATTTTTATTTGTTAAATTATTCTAATCTAATAGCATTTACAACTGGTTTCAAACAAAAAATATACATATTTTAATGATTAGTATTATTTTATCAAAACAATTTTTTTTTTTAAATAAAAGTAAGAATCTCAACACAGGTAAAATTACACTCGAAAACATCGAATTCGTAAATGATGATAATAATTATATAAATGATCTTGAGTTGATTAACTTGGTATAAAATGTTGAAGAAATTCATATTCAATTATTTAAGTTATTCAAATTTATACGCATCTGATATTTATTTAGAAACGCATAATTAAATCAATTATTGAAATTACATTGAGGAAATTTTAATACATACATACAAATTATAAAATTCGTCCTTTGATACTGTTACAAGAAAAGGATAGTAGGTTTTAAAAACTAAATTATATGAAACTGCCACAAACTTATATTTCATTAATGAAATTTTTAACATCCTTAAACATTTTTTTTTTATTTATATGAAAATTTTAAATGTTTTACAAGTATTTTAATTATACTATTAAAAATTGTTTTAATTATATATTTAATAAAAGATAATTTGTTTCTTAAAAGAAAATATTATCAATTATAATAATGAGCTCAAGAAAGTAGAGTAAAAATGCAAATTCTTATTTTTTTTTTAAAGTTAATACAAGTTTGCAATACGGGGTTATTAATTTTAGAACACGTTATTTTTCAATTATTTGATTGTTTTTTTTTTTTTTTTTTGTAAGTGTGGAATAAACATTTTATTTAAAGAGAAAATATTCTTTTCATTTTTTAATTAAAAACAAAATAAATTTTAAAAATATGCTTAACATTTAAACATTCACTTATTATAAATAAAAAACTATTACATATAAAAAAAAATTTTAAGATATAAAACACACTGCTCACATAAATTGTGAATTCTTGCTTATGGCGGCGTTAATTGTGTTTCAATTTAGAAATCATAACATATAATTTTTTAGTAAATAAATATATAAAATTATATTATAATTATATACCGTTAATGCAAATTTTTAAAAGATAGTTATCGTTTGTATTGTGTATTATTAATAATTCAGTAAATACATTTAAAATATATATGCATATATTAATGTATATATATAAATTATTAATGAATATATATATGTTCATTAAATTTCTTGTTCTACAATGTATGGTTGAATACTTTACTTTTAAATGTATTTTTTAAATACAATACATTATATATATAAATTAAACTTGTAAATATATATGAAAAAAAAAACTAAACTATAATATATAACTAGTGAACAATAATAAAAACAAAAGAAAAAATATTAAAAAAATAAACAAAAAACTATAAATATTGTAAAATTTATTTTGAAAATAAAATCATCATGATCATTATAGTAAATAAGTCACGAACTATTTAAAATTAATAAAACAAATTTAATTAAAATTTATTTAAAAAAAAATATGTTTTACATACGTTTGCTGTTAATTCAATTCGGAAAAGAAATTTTTGTACATATTTTATTATATTCTTATTTTGCAAATATAAAATATTTTATTTTTAATAACATTCAATTTTAAATACAAACAAAAAAAAAATTAATATCATCAACCATGAAAAAAACAATAAGTTATAAAGTAACAAGTTATAAATTTTGAAATTTAAAGAATATTAATCAAAACTATCGTTTAATCTTCGAACAACCTTTATAAGGGAATGTAATCGTAATTTAGTTTTAAATTTATTTTTGTGATTTAGACAATATACATATTAAACAAATTGTTTATATAGATTTTTCTCTTTAAAAAAAAATCAAAATAACAAAAAGTTGAAAAAAAAATCTACGAAATAGAATACTTTGTATTTAATAAGCATGCCAAATTATATAAAATTTCAGAAAATTTAAACTCAAAATACCTGACTGAAGAACGTGTAAACGCAATATAGGTATTGGCAAAGTCCAATAATTTTTTTTTTTTTGTCCAAATGGATAAAGTAAATACGATAGTCAATTCATATGGTACTGTATAGTAATATTCTTGTAATATTTCAAAAATATCACAAAATTTCAATTAATAATTGAAAAAAAAGTATTAAAACTGTTATGCACCATGTATTAAATGCATCAAAATTATTTAACCCACATTTATATGGGTACATTAAAACCGAAAAAGAAAAATGTATATTAACCTTTATTACTTAGGTAAAGAAATAGTTGCAAATTAAAAGATTATTATAATATACAAATTATTAAAACAAGAAATGCAAAAAACAGTACCTTAATTATTTTATAGACAGTTTATTAATATTGTTACTAAAGTGCCTTGATGTTGTGGAGATTGGCTTAAAAACAAAATATCAATTTTGGTTTACAAAAAATGAAAAAACCAAAATTGATTCCAATCCCCTCGCAATCAAGATGAATGATAAAATAAAAATCGTGAAAATAAAATAATAATAAAAAATTTGAATAATGGTCAAAAATTTAAAAATTATAATAGAAACTGTTATATAGAAAACGTTCATTAAACAGTTCTTTTTTATCATTTGCTACATAAATATTTTTCCCATTGAATACTTGCATAATTAATAATATTATGTAAAAGTTTATTTCTTTCAGATAATTTCAAAACATTTAATATTATTTTAATTTCATTATTTCGTTTGAAATATTTTATTTGAGTGATTATTTTTTTCAAAAATTCGTTACTTTATTAGGTATTTAATACACATTATAAAATATTACTATGTATATTAAAAAAAAAAAAACAAAAAACAAATAAAATATTAAATATGTAATTTAAATGAATGCATAATTTACATTAAAAGAAAACAAAGCATAAATAAAGTGAAGTAAAACGTTAAAGGTAATACAATAGAATAAATATTTAGTTTGTAAGAAAAAGGGAATAATATTAATAAATATAATAAATAAAAGAAAAAATAATATAAGATATTTCAAACTATAAATAAATAATGAAAATAATTCATAGAATTATGTTATAATATAATAATAAAAATATTGTATGTATGAGTAATTACAAAATAAAAAACACATTATATCATATTATAATTAAAACTAAAATAATTATAAATTATGAACACAGAGTTTATTTTATTAGTATATTATTATTTTTTTTTTATTTAAAATAGGTAATAGATAATAATAATACCTAAAAGTAATATTTTTTGAATTGGAATATTAATAATTTTTTTTCATTTATATTTTTTAACCAAAAAACAAAATAAATTTATTTCGAACGCACTACTCTGAAATCTTTTACTGAAAAATATGCATAAAACTTTTATCAAAATAAAAAGGAAAAAATTTTAAAAGATTAAGTCGATCATAATTGAAGAAAACTGAACAAGTTAATAGAAAATAAAGTTGGCGTTCTTCTAAAACTCTTATATTTTTAAAAAAATATTTTTACAATATGCGCATATTATGTATGCAACTTATTATATTATGTAATAATTGATTTAATTAAAAATTGAATTTTCTAATTTCCAAAAAAAAAAAGAAAAAATAATTTATACATATGTATGTATTTTTCGATGTTTTAGTTACTTGCATTCTGAATTGATTTTGTAAATTATAAATACATTATATACATATTAGAAACTGAAATAAAGGTTTTGAATAAAACAAGGTGGTTAATAACATCTACTTTTTTTATAGGGATTATTTTAAATTGTGGTGCTATTTTTATTAATTAAATCTAGCCATCATAGAGCATTAAGTTGTATGATAAAAGATAATAAAAATATGCGCCGAAGTTTTATTAAAAAAGAAATTTATTTACTTTACCTAATTGGAAATTTTTTCAGTTCAGTTTATTTAATATAAAATTACTCTTTTAATATAAGAAATTATATATGTGCATATGTGTGCATATACTTCTCATATTATTCTCATTAACGTATACAAGTTTTCGATTTCATATGCAAAAATATAATATATGTTAAGTAAATATTTTATATTTTTGTCGTTAACGCTGAAAAAAAAAGACATATTTTTCATTAGATTTTATTTTTTTTTTTATTTAAGTTTTAAAATTTTCATTATTTAATATTTTTCTAGGGCTTTAATTAATAAATCATTAATTGTTGTTAATAATGTTCTGGAATCATCAGCGAGACCAGCTCCAACCATTCCATTAATGAAAAGTTGTTTTGTTAAAAGTTCAGCTAATTCTGGATTGGTTTTCATTAAGCTATGCAATTTTTTAATTAGTACATGTCTGCAAAACAATTATTTAGAACAAATTTATTTAAAATTATAAAAATGGAATAATATAAGAATTACTTTGGATTTATTTCAAGTTGTGGCTGTAAAAGAGCAAATCGATTCTCCTCTGGTAACTGATGGCTTTGAGTTCGAATAAAATGACGTGCTGCGCCCATTTCTTCAACAGTTATAACACAAGGATGTGTTTCTAACTTATTCGTTATCTATGACAAAAATTTCAAATATTGAAAAATTATTAAAAAATTTAACCTTTTTGTTCTTTGCTTACTTTCACATTAGCAACTTTTCCAGCAAGTTTTTCTTTAATATATGGAATAAGCTCATCGACTTGGGTTTTAAGTAAACTACCTTCTGCTAAGTCAATTGTTTCCTCATTTGACGATCTCATTTCTTTTTCTACAGACACAATATTTTTGCCCAAAAACATATTCAGTTGCATCAATACTAATTCATCATGGGGCTCATAACAAAATATTACTTCAATGTTTTTTTTCTTTAAACTCTCATAATAAGGTGAAGATTCTGCTAAAGTACGATTTGGTGCAGCTAAATAATAAATTTCTTTTTGTTCTGGACCAACATTGTTGCAGTATTCTGGTAATGAAATCTTTTTGGAGTCTGTTGTTTTCGATGACTCAAAACGTAATAATTTAGCAATTTCTTCTTTTTCTCTATGTTCTTCTGAAATAACAATTCCTTCTTTCAAAAACATGTTGTAATCACGATAAAATTTTTCATATTCAACTGGGTCTTTTGTAGCACGTTCTTGTAAAAACCGTAAGACGCGATTTGTTAAAACATTTCGGAGCTTTCTTATTAATGCACTATTTTGTAACAGTTCTCTACTTAAATTTAATGGTATATCTTCAGAGTCTACCACTCCTAAAAAGAAATTAAAAAATTTGAGCAAACACGAAATTTGTGTCAGTGTTGTTTTTTACCTTTTACAAACCTTAACCATTTTGGCAGCAAATTTTCAGTTTTTGATTGAATTAAAATTTTTCTGGTGTATAAGGCTACACCAATTGTCATATCTCTTGATAATTCAAATAAACCTGGTTTTCCTTCTGGGAAATATAATAGCGCTCGAATACTCAAGGGTGCATCAGTCTTATAGTGCAATGTAAACCTCGGAATATCATAAGAGTTGCCAATAAATCTGTAAAATTCAATGTGCTGCTCGCTTGTAACATCTTTTGGATCCATTAACCACAACGGTTGGATATCATTTACACGTTTACCATTCAAATAAATAGGACTTCCAACAAAATTACTGTATTTCTTAATAACAGCTACAAATTTTGTTTTTATTATAGTTTTTGCGGAAAAAAAAATTACTAACTAACCTTTGATTCTGTCTTCATCAGAATATTCACGCGATTCTGTTTTCAAATAGATAACAATTTTAGTACCATTTGCTACACCTTCGGCTTCTTGTATCTCATATGATCCGGATCCATCTGACGACCATTTCAATCCCACTGAACCCACCTTAGAAGATTTTGTGTAAACTTCTACTTTATCAGCTACCATAAAAGCTGAATAAAATCCAACTCCAAATTGTCCAATAATATTGGAAGAATTTTCTTGCGTTAAACCTTTGTCTTTAATTTCTTGCAAAAATTTTTTGGAGCCGGATCTAGCTATCATACCTAAGTTGTCAACTAATTCATTTTGTGTCATACCAATTCCAGTATCTTGAATAGTTAGTATCATTCGTTGCTTATCGGTTCCGATATGAATTTCTAAAGGCCTATCTGCTTCACTATAGTTTTTTTCGCCTTCTCCGGCTGTATGGATGGTGTAACGAAATTTTTCTAAAGCATCAGAGGCATTTGAAATAAGCTCCCGTACGAATACTTCTTTTTCTGAATATAAAGACCGAGCCACAATATCAAGTAGCATTCTTGTTTCAGCCTGGAATTCATGTTTGTTGACATCTCCAATAGCTTTTTCGGTATCTTTTATAATATTGTGGTCAGCTTTTTCATCAGCTTTTGTACTTAAATATTTTTTAAATGGATCATATCCTAAAATAAAGCAGTAAACCCAAACTGAATTTTATTAAAAATTTTAAATTTACCTTTATATGATAAACATCGTGACCAAGGATTAAGATTTTGAGGTTTTGATATTATTGAACTTGAATATTTCCTATAAACTGGTGAAATCTTGTATACATTTCTTAGTGCTCTATATACGGAAAACATATTTCAAACAAATTATATAATTAATTTTAATTTGAAGCTAAATTAAATGTCAAATATTTTTCAGCATGCAAGAAAAATCTTTTTTATACTAGACTGGACTATTAGTTTTGCACAGAATTATAGGAAAAGGAATGTACATTCTTCACTATACTGATAGCAGCAACAATCGATACTTTGATTTCGATGTTCGTACAACTTATATTAATACTAATGAATCGATCATATTAATTGATACATAATCGGCCAAACGACGTTTTGTTTAATTTGAATTTTCTGTTTTGTTTTATAAAGTTTGAAGTACATACATATACCTTTTTTAAATGATGAATTTAAATTACCTTCTTTAATAGTATTTATATATTAATATTTAGATTAATTGCAGCTTTCAAAGATCAACATATGGGTAACAATATTCCAAAAACTCGAATATTTCAAAACATAGTATTTCACTTCGATTGCACTAAAATCATGTGCAGGTTTCATATTTTTTAAAATATATGCAAGTACAATATAAATTAGGCTTCAATTATTAGTTGACGTTGACAAAGCTCGAGTTTCTACTAGGTCGCTGCATCTGGGCTTTGCAGTATTACAATATGTTAGTATACAAATTTCTACATCTCGTGAAGCAATGAACATAATTAGTTTTTTAAAATTATTTTATTTAAATTAACATAAAAAAAAATTAAGAAAAGAAGGCAGAAGAGTAGGTCTGTATCAACAGAACATATGAGAAAGTACACATTCCTCTTCTCGACTTAGAAGTACTTTCAATAATGAACTCTAGTTTTGAAAAATAAATCTATTATTATTTTAAAAAGTTATGTCCAGTTAAATTCACATAGATAATTGCCTCATGAAGCTAGTCTTTATTATAAACGAGAAAAAATCTAAAATTATATATAAATAAAACTGAATAGAATTATAAATATTATGCAATATTTTTATGAATTTCAACAAAACGCTGAGATCAGAAAATATTATTTAACTCCGCATCAAATGTCAAAATTCTTTTAGAATACAATTAATAGAACCATCCGGAAAGAGGCAAAATTACCGCCGCGAATAAACCGAAGGCGGTAAAATATAATAAAAATACATTTTACCACTGAAACTTCGTTTGAACGACATCTATTTTCAAGTGTGTGTGGCAATTTGTGAAAAGTACTGAATTACTACTTCTGCAATTTCTTTATATTTTCGTGTTAACAACGGGAATGTTAGATTTTTTATTTAGATTGTTTTAATTTTTTGTATCGTGTTGAATTTAATCACATATTAAAATCAGGATGTTAAAATTTAAAATTTCCCGTTCAGAAACTGGTTTGTTAATAATTTTGTGTGTAAACACAATTTCAATCATTAAAGAAAATATGATAAAAAGATTTGATGTCTAAACACTTCCTTATACGATTCGAGTCTCGTTTTTGTTATCAAAATTTATTGTCTTGTCAATTTAAATTATACTATTTTGTCATGTCACTATTTCAATTTGTTAAAATAGCAATATAGCGTAGCATTAATTTGTAAATGCTCATTAAATATTTATATGGAATTTTCTCGTTCGAAAAAAAAAATCTATAATAATTAAAAATGTAAAAATTTGTGCATTAAAAATTTAACTTATCATTTATTGAAAGAATGATAATTGCAGTTAATTACGTAAAGAGTGATGAAAAAAATTGATTTAGAAGCAAATGAAAAAGTTGAAGTGAAATTCAAAAGAATATTTTTATAAATTTGTTAGACTTATTAAATTTTTTTATAATAAATTTAGCTGTGACAAAAAAAGTGAAAAATCCAGAATTAATTTAATTAAACTTATGTAATTTTAAAGTGTGTTGTTTTTTTCATGTTAAAAGAAAGGGAAGTTATTTGCATTTAATTTTGAAGGGCGAACGCCAAAGCTTTTTTTTTTTTTATGAAAGAAATTCTCATTTAACGCGTGAGATTTTCGTAACAAAAGCAAAAGTCAACAAAAAAAAAAAATTTACATTTTTACAAATTTCTAATATAAATTATGAAAAAAAAACCATTGTTTTAAATAGCTTGCCTGTGGTACATTGTTAATTAGTTTAAAGAAGAAACCTATAAAAACAAGAAAATAATCAATAATTTAGAAATTCCATTGTACGTTATTAGAAGTAATTTAGCAATACCTAAATATAAGTGTATGGTTATTGCTTAATTTAGTAAATTTATTTCAATATAAAAAATAATTATAGAAAAAATCCAAAAATGAAAATTTATAAATATTTAAATTAATCTTAATTTGAATAGTTTTTTGTTCAATATTTATTTTTTTTTTTTTTTTGTGGAATCATAAAAATTGTGAAAAATAGTCAACATGGCACGAAATTATATAAAGTGCCCACACATGGACAATATTGTCCAACTTTCTCTGCCTGAAATATGTAAAATCAAACAGGTACGTAATTTTGGATGGAATGCATAATATCATTATTTCATTAACGTAGGCTAATCTGAATTTATAAAATTCGAATTTAAATTATGTACAAGGTACATACTTAGCTACGAGTATCTACTTCTGATTTGAATTTAAGCTCTCGTATTTACGTTGATAATATGTAGTGTTAAAAGTGGTTTAGTTTGATAAAAAAATACCTGGCTTTAAAAGGCCATAAACAAACCGATTTTTCATGCAATTGCTTAGAATTTAGAGAATAATCGCTTCATAAATCATATTTTTTGTTTATTTAATGTTAATTACATTTTAATATTTGAATAACATGATGAGAATGCTTAATGATATGGTAATAATAACAAAATTTATATGGTAAAAAAATTAACATCATGTTATTTTTTAATCTATTAATTCAGAATACCATACTTTTACCCAATTATAACGATTAACTAACAATATTGCTGAGTAGATTCAAATTATCACGTAGCCTTACTAAACCGTAAATTAAATATAGTTCTTTAATTAATAAGGGCGAAAATACTTATATCTTTCTTCTTTACCTGTTTACTTAACTAAAATTGAATTAGATTTTATTTTTTAATAAATACCAGCTTAAACAGTTTACTGTGCTACAAATATTTCGTAACGTGAAGTTATGTGTTTTAACTAGTTACATATAACTATGTCTTCATCTGAAAAAATTAAAAGCTTATTTTACATATTTTGTGATATATATTGATTTCAAATTAAAATCTTTATAGCATTTATTGATTTAAAGTAGTGCATGTTTATAAACTAATGCTACTTCTTATAGAACTAACATGCATATTTATTGTTAAAACATAATTAAGTAGGTACCTATGAACTCATACACTTGTACACAAGAACTCATTTTATAAAAATAAAAGTATCTAATTAAAATTGCTGCCACAATATAAACAAAATGAAAGTTAAATACCTACTTAAATAGAGAATATTTACCTACAGATACGAGTACCTTTTTGCATTAAATTCACTTCCGTTCAAAATAATTTCTCTTTCAATATTCCAATTTTTTGTTCTAACATAGCTGCTTCTTTCAGAATTTTTTTTCTTTTATTGACTCATTGAACTAAATACTGCTGATAAAAATAAATAGCTATGTATGTATCTCTAAAATTTTAATGACATTCATTAAGTTCTTTTTCGAATTGTTTTTTTTTTTAATTAAATAATTTATTTAGGAAAAAAAATATTATAAGTACTTAAGTATCAACAATTTTATTATTTCGTTACATAAATTCTTAATTTACAAATGCTAATCAATTACTATTTAATTATACGAGATATGTAACCTACTTACATAAAGAAATTTGTTATTAGTTACATGAGCTGTTATATATAATTTTTACTAAAGGAATTAACTGATTGTATAAAATGAGTAGGTTACATCTACCTGTTAGAAATAACAAACAAATATACTGTGGCAAAATTTAAAAAAATTTAAATAACATTAAATGTGTACTATTCAAATTCAGTTACACGATATTTTAAACAGTTTAAAATTCATTTATCATAAAATTCGGTTTTCTGTCCATGACCTCTTCGATTAACTATCAATAAATTTCTTAAATACTTATATACACATATATTTATAAAAATGTTTGAAACTCATTTTATTTGTGAACTCTGAGTTTATTTTTATAAAAAATACATTTAAAAACTATGTTTTAAGGTCAAGATAATGGTTCGAAAATCTTGATTATTTTAAGTAAATAAAAAATTAAGTGCATTTCCTTAATTTTTTGCAACGTACCTTGTGAATGGAAATAATAATTTAATTTTTTTAAAAAAATTTCAAATGAAATTTCGTCAATTCTTTTATGGTACTTGCTTAATAACAGTGAGTATGCATATCTTATCATATGCAAATCATAAAGATAAAATAATATAAATATACTTGGAATGATTTGTACACACTAGTGTAAAGCAATATATTTCACATACTTATTGCGTAAAAACTAAATTTCAAGATAATTGAAATGCATTGTAGATAATATAACAAGTATAATTATCGAATTATAATTTGAGTACCTACAATTATTGTAGGTACTCAATACAAAGGCTTAATTTATATTAAATATTAAAAATTAAATATTATTCAATTTTTTTTTATTATTTTCTTTAGGGTCAATCATGTTCGCAATGCGAAGCAATTGGTCCAAATTTATGGTTATGTTTACATAGATATTGTTTGCATACTGGTTGCTCAGAACAAGCTAATGATCACAGTACTATACATTTTAAAGTAAGTATTTTATACTAATTATATAAAATTAATGATTCTTTTTCAAAGCTTTAAATTTTTAGAAAATCATATTGCTCTTTTTTATTTCGAAGTTTTTTTGAAAAATTAAAATTTTGTTTTTAAGTTGAATAACCAACATTGCGTTCATATGAATCTGTCATCTCAACGTATTTGGTGCTATCTTTGCGAAACTGAAGTGTTCTTAAATCAAAGAAGAAGTTCATTAGTTGGTAATAGTGATGCAACAAGCGAAGCAAGCCGATTTTCGGATAGAATCTATGAGCGAAATATGAGTAGTAGTATAGGAGATACACCAGAATCTAGCGGTGATGAAGATGACGGAGACGGTCAATATATGGATGGTTTGGTTGGATTACAGAATATTGCAAATACTTGTTACATGAATGCAGCTTTACAAGCTTTGAGTAATTCTCCACCATTAACATATTATTTTTTGGATTGCGGAGATATAATAGAAGCAACTAATGAAATTAGTGGCAATAGAAAACCTGGATTAGCTAAAAGTTATCATCGTTTGATGAAAGAAATGTGGCTTAAATCTAAAAGAAGCAATATGAGTAAGTTTTCACATCTTATTTTTAATTAAAAACACCTTTTTTAACAACAAAAAAATATTTATTAGATTATGTTGTTCCACGTGGAATATTATATGGCATTAGAAGTGTATATCCGATGTTTCGAGGCTACCAGCAACATGATACACAAGAATTTTTACGTTGTTTTATGGATCAATTGCATGAGGAATTGAAGGAGGTAACACCCCCGCCACCAGATCCGGCAAACAGATCTGTTTCGGCTAAATCAAAATATTTGTCACTTGATGAACGTTCACTTGGTTGTGGTTCGAGTAGTACAATAGATGATGATCAAGTTTCATGCTCAACACCATCACCATCTCAGTCGGAAGCTGAGGAATATGAAACGTGTGATAGTGGCGTATCTGAACAATCTAGTTTGTCAGATGAGGGAACTCCAAATTTAAGTAATAGACCTAAAATTTTAGCAAAACCATTGTTTGGTTCCCGCCCTTCTAGTCCAGGTTCCACTTCATCTTTTATACCGTATTCCGTCGCTGGTAAAGTAAGTCCCCAGCATTTGCAAAAACCGACAATGCAAAACGAGCAGAAACAAAAATTAGTATCGTCACCATTGAAATTACCGCACCGATCAATCATTAGTGATGTATTCGATGGAAAATTACTATCATCTGTGCAGTGCTTAACTTGTAATAGAATTTCAACTCGGGAGGAAACATTTCAAGATTTATCCTTACCAATACCAGGAAAAGATCATCTTGCTGTATTGCATCAAGCAATGCCTTCTCAAAATCAGCAGCATCAACAAGTTCCTCTTTCACCTGGAGTAAATAATACAAATCAAAACTCTGTGACTTGTACTGACGCTGTATATCAAGCAGGTCAAGATGGTTGGTTTTGGTGGGTATGGAATTGGTTCCGCTCTTGGTTTTGGGGACCGGCAGTAACCTTACATGACTGCATGGCAGCTTTCTTTAGTGCTGACGAGTTAAAAGGAGACAATATGTATAGTTGTGAACAATGTAACAAATTACGTAACGGTATAAAATATTCACGGGTTTTAGCACTGCCGGAAATGTTATGCATACATTTAAAACGATTTCGCCATGATTTATCTTATAGCTCAAAAATTTCAAGCCCAGTTAACTTCCCCTTGACTGGACTGGATATGAGGCCATATTTACATAAAGATTGCAAATCTGAAATATCATCATATGATTTAACGGCGGTTATTTGTCATCATGGTACCGTTGGTGGAGGGCACTATACCAGTTTTGCAAAACATGAATTATCTGGAAAATGGTATGAATTTGATGATCAGTTAGTTTCCGAAGTAACACCAGAAGTTGTACAAAATTGTCAAGCTTACGTTTTATTTTATCGTAAAGTAAATCCAAATATGACAATAATTCGCTCCCAAGCTCAAGAGTTAGCCGAAATGAATCCACCACAAGCTTCTGATATAAGATTCTTTGTTTCAAGACAGTGGATAAACCGTTTCAATACTTTCGCTGAACCTGGCCCGATAGATAATTGGACTATTTTGTGCCCTCATGGAGGTCTGCCACCATGTAAAGCTGCCTTAATAGAACGATTGGCTATACCTCTACCGCAACCACTTTGGGATTTCTTGTATAAACAATTTGGAGGTAAAATTTAGAAGCAATTTAACGTTTATCTTATAACCCAGATACTTTATTTTGAAGGTGGACCTGCTTGCAATCGTTTATTTGAATGTGACACCTGTCGAAGGGCTGCTGAATCATTAGCTAGAAGGCAGGAAGCAGAATTGGAAGCTTTTACAAGATTTAACAACGAATTCCAATACCAAGAGAAACCAGTGACGACAATTTATGCTATTTCCATGGCATGGTTCCGTCAATGGCAACTTTTTGCTCGTGGATTAACCACTGAAGAACCTGGTCCAATTAATAATACGACAATTGCAGCAATACCTGAAGCAAACTGCATGCCAATTCGTAATGTAAAACCAGGTTCTGATTATGCTCAGTTAAATACTACTTTATGGAAATTTTTTCACGAAATTTATGGTGGGGGTCCAGAAATAATTCTGCGTGGCGGACCTTCTGAAGAAATTAAATTACAAAAGGTAAGCGCACACAAACAATGTTCAATACATGTTAAAATATATGCTTCTAGGAAAAAGAAACAGAGAGTATGGATATTGATCACGATATGAAATTGCCACAAAATAATACATCAACATCAAACAGATCGAAAGACGATATGGTAAATGAAAAATCTGAGTCTGAAGTTAGTCAAATTTTTCAGACCGATAGATCATCAAAAAACTCTAATAGTAAACCAAAATCAATTGTCAAACAAACAAAGAATGTTTCTTTTGAAGATGAAACAGAAGATATGATTTCTGAAAGCTATAGCGATTCAATTAATGTTCGTTCATCAACTAAATATAATGATGACGAAAGTAGAAATATAGCAAGTAATAATGCAAGTCATATTTTATGCAGTGGTAGTGGAAGGCGTGGTAAATATGAATTAATAAATAAAAAGGATAAAAAATATCGAAGTGCAATGAAATCATCGGGAAGCAATGCAATGTTTGGTCCAGAAGGTAATTTAATCCCTTGATATTTCTTTTATTTTAAAATTGTTGTTTTTTTCTTTTAAATTGTAAATACATTGATATTTTATGTTGAATTTTTACAGGAAAATATCAAACTCAATCATCATTAGACAACAATACAACTGAATCTATTTCCGATAATAAAATGAGTAACATTGATTTAATTAATGCGAATGAATACCAAAAATCAGAATATAATCCCACTTATACTATAAAAAATAATTCCAGCAACAATTTATTGAATTTAAAAAGTTCAGAGTCTCAAAGTTTATTGAGTTCCCAAATTATAACAACGACAGCCGCTGTGACTCAACAAAAACTGATAACAACTACAACGACTACAACCACTGCAGTTACAAACTCCATTAATATGAATTCGGTTCCAACAAAAAAACTAGTAAGATCATCGCTATCAGATGAAACTGAATCTTTTCTTATAGAACATCAACAGCAGATACCAAATTCACAACAGGCATTTCAAATGTCAAACGAGAATTTGAATGATAAACAATTATTATCTAGGACTGTAATAGGAGCTCTTCAAACTGGGACCCTATCAGCATTAGCAAACACTATAGGAAAACATCATTTTGGTGAATTTAATGACCAAAAATCGTTAAATGCATTAGATATAAGTCCTATAGAGAAAACTTTAATGATTAATAGCGAATCGTTTCAAACATCAAATTGTAATGGCAATCACAATGATAGCAATAACAACAATAATAATAACAATTTTAACAACAATAAGAATTCATCGATTTTGTCAAAAAAATTTACCACAGGTAGTGTAGGGAAAGGTCATCATCATCGAAAAAAAATAAAATCCAAAAACAGTAGAAAAACTAGTTTTTCACAATCATGTACACCAAATCAAGACAATGGAAGTGATAGTTGTTAAGATAATAAAATTTTAAACTTAAGAAGATTTAACTAATAATTTTTCAAAAATTAAAAATTTTGAAATATTTTTAATATTTAAACTAAAACAAAGAAGAAAAATATTATTATAATTTACTCTGAGGTAGAGAAATTTAATTTTTCATGTTTTTTGAAAGCCACTACAATAAGTATGAATATTAGGTACCGTTCAAGCCCATAGAGCAAGTTTTAACTGCGATTAAAATATCATGCTGAATTCGTAATATAATGGTCTAAACTTTTTTCATATGAAAATACATTAATTTTTATTTTTTATATAAAATCGTTTAAACAATATTAACTACTTTTTGTGATTATAAATAAACAAAATAGGTATTTTCATGGGGGTAAATAGGTATTTCACACTTTGGATAAATAAATTGAAGAATATTTTAGTGAAATAAAATGTGAAAATATTTTTTATTCACCAATATTTCAAAAATTCTATAGAATCAATATGTTCAATTTGAAAAATTATTGTTTTCGAATATTATACTTGGAAGATAATATGAAGCTAAACATTAATTTGAAATATGTATTTCGTAATCGCATTTACATTACAAAATATTTATAATTTGCCATATTGCTTAAAATTAAGTATTTTGAAAACCACAATTTTTTTTCAATAAATATGAGAAATAATTGAAAAATTTCAATGTAATCAAAAAATTTTAATATATAAAAAAAATCACAAAATTATTCCATAAAGTTGATTTTTGTTAAATTATTAAAAAGAAGTGGTTTTTGGTTTTGTTTTAAGAGAAATTTAATTCCATTAACTAAAATGAAAAATTATATATAAGCATTTAATTTAATTAGGTTTTGTTACGCTTTATTTAATTTGTTTCAATGTGAGTTTCAGCATGATGTTAAAATAAAATATGCAAATGTTTTTTTAAAAACATTTCGAACATTAATGGTGCTTAAAACGAAAACTGTTAAGCAATTTTTACGCGGTTAAAATAAAGTACACATGTAAATGGTCCTTGTAATTTTTTTTTTTTGGAATTAGAATTCTGTTACATGCGTATTTTCTACTTTTATTATAAAATCTTAAATGGGGGCTATTTTTTTTTAGGTTAAACTAAAATTAAAATAAAAGTCATATGGCTAAAAACTACAAAAATTTAATGAGATTTAGAAAAAAAACTTGTGAAAAAATAAATGGTGACATGATTAAGAAATATGAAATCAAAAATAATATGTATTTAAAAAAAAAAACCTTTTTTGGATTTTAATATTTAAATTTTTATATTTCATTTTTAAAATTTGTATGTCGTATAACAAAGTGCTTAATTATAATTTTCTTAGAATATTTATCAATATTTAAATTTTTAAAATCACCGTATTATATACCACCATTCCAAGAACCTTTGTTCCGATGTAATAATAAAAAACACGATATCAAATTGTAGGATGATGTATAAAAATGCATAAAAATTTTGTTATTTTTAGAATTTCTTTCCTTTTTGGTAATAGCATTTAATTATATTGCTTCATTTACTGATTTATTGTTATTATTGTATTTAAATTATTTAAATGATTAATAAAATTTTAAATAGGAAATTGTTTGTAATTGCTTTCTGTTTTCAAAGGGATTTTGTATTTTAAAAATAATTATTTACAGAATGGTTTATATTTCTATGGGGTAAAGCTAAATATTAAGAAGAAACTATTATATATAAGAATTTAAAGAATAAAAAAAAGTGCTTGAAAAGAATAGATAAAATAAAAAATATTGTTGAAGAAATACATGTAAATTGTGTTGTTTTACTTGTCTATTTTTCAGGAATTCCGGCTTGAATATAATATTAGTAAAGAATAAAAAAAAATAGCTGAAACAAAATTTAACATCAATTTCAAGGCAACGTGAAATAAAAACAAAGATTTTTGAATTTGTAAAATGTAAAATGTGTGGCTACATAGTATATAAGCGTTTCTTTTTGAATATAAAAGCAAGTTTTCTTATACAACTTGAACTTAATTAAAATATGAAGTTTAAGTTATGTAAGAAAGGTTGCTACATGAAAAAGTAAAATTGGTGAAAGTAATGAAAGACCCACCCGCTCTCTAACTTAAGAAAGTATTATTTTTCATAAATTCTAGATGTTTTATATTTAACAACCAAATTCGCGAAATAAACATAATATTATTTTATATACATACATACATATGTACAAAGGTAAATTATGCTCGAGCCCATTTAAACAAATGATTCGAATGACATCTCGTATGAATAATACCTTGGTATTATGAAGTTTTAATTAAGGTTGTAAGCATTTTCTACTGAAAATCAAAAATCAGTAAATTATTAACTAAATTATTTTAGCATACATGTTAATCACATATCACATGTTTTATGAAACCCGAGTTGCAAAATTTTTTAATTCATATTAAATTATATTGTTATACATACCCCTACATTCCTTCCTTCTACAATTTACAGTAATTCGATTTATGTTATTAAAAAAAATTTGTATGTTACATCTTTGAACATAGAAACGTCAAGGAAAGTCATTCTATGAAATAAAATGTCAAATTTCCTTTCAAATGTCAAAATTATTCAATGTGAGATTGTATTAAAAAGGAAATTAGTTCTGCAAAAGAAATTTTATTTATTTGTGGATTTACATATTCTTTAGTTTTAAAGAAAATATACTGACCAGAATTATTTAGTTTTAAAAAAGTTGTAATATATGAATACTCTGTTGAAATAAAGGTATCTATAGATTTTGCATATATATTTCAGTTCGGCTTCAGTGAAAATATAAGAATGCGTGTATAACAAATGTGCAGTGCCAAGTAGACAACTTTTTGCGTGAATTTTATTTATTAAATTTTTTGGGTATAATTAAAACTTGAAAATGTCGGATTCAGAAGCTAGCAACATGTCTGATAGTGGTTCTGACGTTGGAAGTATGGGCTCAAACAGGTCCCAACACAGCGTTAGGTAAAGTTTTCGTAATTTCAAAAATTTTCCTAAATTGCAAATTCTAAAAATTTGTAGGTCAAATTCTGGTTCTAGAGCTTCAAGATCTAGGTTGGTTATTTTAAGTAAAATTTTTAAATTTTATGAAAACTTTCCATTTGTTTAGGTCTAGATCTCATTCGGCGTCCAGATCTCGATCAAGATCAAGATCGCGATCTCGCTCATCTCGATCTAGATCTCGTTCTGGTTCACGATCTGGTTCAGATACTGGAAAAAATCGGAGGCGATCACAAGAAGATGACGAAGATGGTGATGAAGAACAAGAACCAGAGGGCGAAGACTTGGATTCTGAGGAATATGAAGATGATGAAGATGATGATAGGCCAAAGAAGAAGAAGAAAAAGGAGCGTTTCCGAGAATTTATTTTTGATGAAGCTGAAGTAGATGACGAAGTTGATGAAGACGATGAATGGGAAGATGATGCTAATGAATTAGGTATAATTGGCAATGAAGTTGATGAAGTTGGACCAACAGCAAGAGAAATTGAAATTAGAAGACGCGGTAACTTGTGGGAGTAAGTATTTTATTAAAAACTGAAATAAAAAATAGTTAACGTATACTTTATTTTAGTACACATAAAGAAGACGAGCTAGAAGAATATTTAAGAAAAAAATATGCCGATGAATCAGCTGCAAGACGTCATTTTGGTGATGGGGGTGAGGAAATGTCAGATGAAATTACACAACAAACTCTGCTTCCAGGAATTAAGTATTTTTGAAAACCCTTAGCAGTTTAAAATTTAAATTTTACATTTTTATTGTCTTGTAATTCAGGGATCCTAATTTGTGGATGGTGAAATGTAGAATTGGTGAAGAAAAAGCCACTGCCTTATTGCTTATGCGCAAATTTTTAACTTATTTAAATACTGATGAACCTTTACAAATAAAATCAGTTGTTGCTCCAGAAGGCGTTAAAGGTTACATATACATTGAATCTTATAAACAAACTCATGTGAAGGCCGCAATTGAAAATGTTGGTAACCTTAGAATGGGAAAATGGAAACAGGAAATGGTTCCAATAACTGAAATGACAGATGTATTAAAAGTTATAAAGGAACAAGCTGGTTTGAAAGTTAAACAATGGGTTAGAATAAAAAGAGGACTATATAAGGATGATATTGCTCAAGTTGATTATGTAGATTTGGCGCAAAATCAAGTGCATTTGAAACTACTTCCACGTATCGATTACACAAGAATGAGAGGTGCACTGAGAACAACTCAATCTGAGTCCGAGGCTGAAAAACGGAAAAAGAAAAGACACCCCCCGGCAAAGCCGTTTGATCCAGAAGCTGTTAGGACCATAGGTGGCGAAGTTCATTCTGATGGTGATTTTTTGCTCTTTGAGGGCAATCGTTATTCTCGCAAAGGCTTTCTTTACAAAAATTTCAATATGAATGCTATTATTGCTGAAGGAGTTAAGCCCACTTTAGCGGAATTAGAACGTTTTGAAGAGCAACCAGAAGGTTAATATACTGCTTTTTATAAAGAAATTTATCTATATGTATATCTGATTTGCAGACATTAACCTCGAAATCGCTGTTGGCAGTAAAGATGATCCGCAGGCAGCACATTCGTTTTCTATGGGGGATAATGTGGAAGTGTGCGTAGGTGATTTAGAGAATTTGCAAGCTAAAATTATAGCTATAGATGGTGGAATGATTACTGTAATGCCGAAACATCAAGACCTAAAAGTAAAAATTTAAATTAAAAATTTTTTTTCTATGTAAAAAATTTAAAAAATTTTCTCTTAGGATCCATTAATTTTCAAAGCAAGTGAATTGAGGAAATATTTCAAAACTGGAGATCACACAAAAGTATTAGCCGGAAGATATGAAGGCGAAACCGGTTTAATTGTTCGAGTGGAACCTTCACGGGTTGTCTTAGTTTCCGATTTAACAATGCATGAATTAGAAGTTTTACCGAGAGACTTGCAACTTTGTTCAGATATGGCAACTGGGGTTGATTCATTAGGTCAATTTCAATGGGGTGATTTAGTACAATTAGAGTAAGATCTGCAATCAAAATGCTAAATCTATATTTAACATATTTTGCTTTTGTAGCCCGCAAACTGTTGGAGTTATCGTTAGGCTGGAACGCGAAAATTTTCACGTATTAGGAATGCACGGTAAAGTAATTGAGTGTAAACCAACAGCCCTTCAGAAAAAACGGGAAGATAGAAACACGCATGCATTGGATTCCGATCAAAGTCAAATACGCCGAAGAGATATCGTGAAAGTTATAGAAGGACAACATGCGGTAATAAATATTTGCATATACTAGATAATTTTCAGCAAACATTTTTCGTTATTTTAATTCACCTAGGGTCGCCATGGAGAAATTAAACATTTATACCGGAATTTAGCCTTTTTGCATTGTAGAATGTATACTGAAAACGGTGGTATTTTTGTTTGTAAAACCAGACATTTACAATTAGCTGGTGGTAATAAAAACACTACGAACAATTATGGGGCAGTTACTGGCTTAGGTTTCATGTCTCCAAGAATTCAGTCGCCAATGCATCCTTCAGCTGGAAGAGGTCGTGGAGGAGGTCGCGGGCGTGGTCGAGGAGGATTCTCGGTTACGCGTGATAGAGAAATTTTAGGAAAAACTATTAAGATTAGCGGTGGTCCTTACAAAGGCACCGTAGGTATTGTTAAAGATGCCACAGAGAGCACTGCTCGCGTAGAATTACATACTTCTTGTCAAACAATTTCGGTTGACAGAAATCATATTGCACTTGTTGGAGTTCCTGGGCGCGAAGGAAGTCTCTCGACTTATGGAAGAACTCCTGCACGCACACCTGGTTATGGCTCACAGACACCAGTTTATGCTGGCGCTGGGTCTAAAACACCATTGCTCGGTAGCCAAACTCCTAATTGGGATTCAGAAGGTCGTACACCATATAGTCACAGTGGTGCAATGACACCATCTCATGATGGAAGCATGACGCCAAGACATGGAGCTTGGGATCCGAATGTTACTAATACTCCAGCTAGAAATCAAGACTTTGAATATAATATGGAAGAGCCAAGTCCTAGTCCAGGATATAATCCAAGTAAGTTTAATACATTTTGAAATTTATTTAAATCTTTGCTAAATTTGTATAAAATTTAGATACGCCTGGATATCAAATGAATACACCATTTGCTCCACATACTCCTGGGACAATGTACGGATCTGATCATAGTTATAGCCCATATAATCCAAGCCCAAGTCCACAACCATCACCAAATCCGGTTGGTTACATGAGTACACCGTCTCCGTCAACATATTCACCAAACACACCATATAATCCTCAGACACCTGGTTCAAGCTTAGATTCTCATATTGCAGATTGGTGTACAACAGATATTGAGGTTAAAATTCATACCCATGGAGATCACGCTTTAGTTGGACAAACAGCTATCATTCGGACTGTTTCAAATGAAGTATGTACAATATATTTACGCCAGGAAGATCGTACAATATCAATATTAATTGAGCATTTGGTACCAATACCACCAGAAGTTGGTGATGAATGTAAGGTTATTTATGGCGAAGATAGAGAAGCAACTGGAGTAGTTATTAATAAAGACGATCAAGATTATATTGTTCAATTTAGTAACGAGGATGAACCGAAAATAATTCCCGGAAAATATTTATGCAAATATAAATCATCCAATTAAATACCGAAATTATGTATTTTTTCGTATATTTTTATTCTAAATTGCTTTTTAAAAGGTATAAAGGAAAAAATTATTAACATAAATATATTGTAAATGCAGTTTGTTTTTGTCTTCTCCAAATAAAGATGATATCGAAAACTTATTATTTTTTTTAGAATTTATTGTTTTTTAAAAACTGGTTTGACCAAAAACATACCAATATTGATAAGCCGCAAAAATTATCTCAAAAATTTTCTGTTAAAAGGTAAAGGTTAAAGAGAAAAATAAACGGAATGGAAGAACTCTAAAGTTTTTTTTCTAGTATAAATATCTAACATACATACCTGCATTATGTTCATACAGTATCAGTAAGTTTTTTTATATTAAAATTATAATAAAAGTCACCAATAATATTTTACAAAATATATCACAGTTGTTTTGAAAGATGAATAAGTTTATATCGCCTACATTATAATTCAAAATTTCAAGAAGTTGTGAGTAACGTTATAAACTCCAAGCCGTTGTTCTTTGTCTTTTAATTTCGCACATTAAAATGTAGTTTCTTAAAACCCACTTAAAAAATTTTGTTTTCTCATTTATTATTATTAATATTTTATAAAGTGTCATACAACATTAATTATACATAATAAATGTAATGTTGCTTAATAAAATTAAGCAACATTACATTTCATATTTTATTCTTGAAAACTCAATATTCTATGATATTTAACAAGTAACAGTACTGAAATTTTTTTAATAGTGGCATAACATTAATCAGCATGATAGTAAAGATTATTAAACATTAAATCAAAGCACTATCTCTGCTATGCTTAAAATGGACAATAATTTTTCTTTTTCTAAACTACTGCAACAACAATAAATAAAATAATACCAAAGGAAATGAAAAAAAAAAAAACAAAAAAACAAAAATAAAGAATCAAAGAAAATTATGCTGAATCGTTAAAATTGAATGAATTTTTTTTTAATTTTTCAGTATAAATTTAAGCTTGCTATAGGCAGTAGTTAATTTTTGTTAGATCGGAACAGACGTGAATTTTAAATAAGTATATAATATTACAACAAGATCAGTGTAATTACATACATATTATATGTCCATAATTGGAGGATCGTTAATAAACTAAAAAGACATTAAATTCATATATTTTTTGGTGTGTATGTGTTTTTGTTTTTGATTTTAATTGAATTAATTGATATTAATTTATTTCTGAAATTATAATTCAAAAAATAATAATTATATTATGAGACAATAACAATAATAATTGTGTTGAACAGTTATGTTTGAATTTTAAAGAATTTCGTTGAGTGTCGATTTTTGGATTTTAAGTACCTAATAGTATTTGTATATATATACATAATTTTTTTATATATATACATAATTATATAATTAAGTGTAATGCTACACTTGAATTTAATTTCTAATAAATAAAATGTTGTAAGCAAATGGCGGTCCATTGAATAAATTATTTGCATTTTCATTAATAATAATTATATTATCATATTTATTTGAAAATTTCAAAAAATATTTAATTAAATTATTAAAAGAAAAATTTAAGTAATAAACAAATTAATTTATTATAAATTATTATAAATACAATTAAATTAATTTTATTTGTTTTCAATATATTTTTAGTTAAAAACAATTTTTATTCTTAAGACAATTTTAAAAAATATTTGAATTATCAATTATAAAAATATTAAAGTAATTATTGTTAAAAACTCTAATGGAAAAGGATTTTTGTATATTTTAATAAATTTTCGTTCCAATATTTATTGCAAACAAATATAAAAATAATATGATACAGAAAGGTTAATAATGGTTATTAATTAATTTTTTTTTGTGAAAATAATTTAAAATTTAATTCTATTTTTTTTGCCTGAAAAAATTAATTTTTAAATTTTTTAAGTATTTAATTAACAATTATTTAATGAAAAGAAAAAAATAAATAATTGCATTGGATTAATTGTAATTAATTAGTGATAGAATTAGTGATTTGATGCAAAAAAAATAATTTTATGAATATAATTTTATATATTAATATTATTAAAAGGCATTTTAGTGGGATTGAAATTTTTTAAAAAAATTATTTAAAAAAAATACCTATTAATAATTTTATAAAAAATGAAATTTTCTATTTACAATTTATAAAACAAAACAATTGAAGGCAAATTAATTGAATTATGAAAAAATTAATTTTGAAAAATTTCATTTGTTATTCATAATAATTTTACAAATTTATGTGCTAATATCAGCCATTTTGTTTTACCAATTTTGGTTGACCAATAAAATGAAGGTTCATTTTTTTTGCGTTTTTTTTTAAATTGCCTTTTTTTTTTGTTTATTTCTTTTAGATAATAGTGTTTGAATATATATATAAATATATATATATGTTAGTACTTTTATGTATTATAAAAATATTGGATTATATAAAGAAGCTTTTTATACCTTTTTGTTTTTGATGAATAAATAGAAGCTGACATTGAAAAAACTAAATACGGTAGGTTATTGAATATTACAAAATTTTTTTGTAAAAATATCTATAATTTTAAGTGTACATACATATTAATTTAATATTGTATATAAAAGAAAGAAATAATTTACTAATACATATTTAAAATAAGCTCTTTAATACATAAAATACATATTAAAGTTACTTATATGTATTATGTATACAAAGTGAAAATTATATTATTTATACATAATGTAATTTAATTACGGAATTGAAAATTACGTTATTATAAAAATATTTATAAAATGAAATTTCCATAAAATATAAGAAAATTTTTTTTTAGTTTTTAAGAAAATTAAAATAAACAAATATTATCAAAAAGGATATGTATTTCATAACAAGGACTTTAATTTACTTATGTATGTATAATATTAGATAGGTACAAAGTAATTTATTATTTAAATATTATTATTATTTAAATGTTATTATTATTTTAATATTATTGTTATTTAATATTATTATAAAAATGTGAAATACCGTATTAAAACAAAAATATTTTATAGTTCCAAAAATTTTTAGGAATAATTGTAGTTGCCTACCATCTTATATTTTCTGCCTTAGTCTGTTAAAATTAAAAATAAAAAATTTTTTAATGCAAACCTCAGAAAATTATTATGATCTATAATATTTAATAATTAATCATAATTATTATTATCTTATAATATTTTTTTAAATTTCCTGATAATTTTTAACCTTGTAACAATTTAGTTTATAAAAAATATCAAATCTTATATATTTCTTGTATTGTATTATCCTTGATTCAGAATAATTAATTTAGTAGTAAACTGCAATTTATTAGATGTTTTAAGGGAATTTGATATTGAATGTAATTGATATCAACATATTTCAATAACAGAAGTGGAAAATTTAAAGGGTAATTAAATATTGTTATATATTTTTATATGAAGTAAAGGCCGAAAATGCTTCGGATTTATTTAGTGCTTGGAATTGGAAATTTTCCATTACTTTCTGTGAGAGTTGCAATTGTTTTGGTTCTTTTGTCATGGCAAAATTATATGACAGGGATGAAAAAAAAAATTAAATTAAATGTCATGAAAAAAAATTATACTTATATATCTATGAATTAAAAATTGAAAACTATTACTAAATATAGAACTATATATAATATCAAAATGTTTTTGAGTAAATTACTCGGTTTACTCAAATGATTTTTCTTCTTATGCTAAAAATAATACTTAAATTTTTAATTTAAATAAAAAATATTAAAGAAATGATGAATTATTCAGCTATAATAATTTCAATATAGAAGCAAAAAGAAAAATTAATTTGTTATAAAAATAAGTGAATAAATATAAATTCTTACATTTACCTCCTTTATATAATTATATCTTAAAATTAGGAAAATTTTCATCTTCGCCATGTATCTTATTGCGATGAAATTATAGTAAATCTCTTAAAATCAAAGAAATAACGGTAAATATAGTTTTTTTAAGAAAATATAATTATACATAATGTATATACATATATAAACTTCAATTGACATTAGTTATTTAATTTCATTATTTTAATTATTGTTCTTTTTAGTGTTTATTTTCATACTAAAAGAATATTCAATAAAGGACATATTGTTCACATTTGTGTAAAATTTCAATATATGAGCTACTGTATTCAATTACTCACCCATTTTAATTGCCATAGATTTGTATAAGAGAATTTGTTGACTTCAATACTTAGAAAGTACTTATGTGATGAGTCAAAAAATTGAGTTACGCCTGTTAAAATATTTAAAATATAAAAAAGAATATTTAAAGTTAAAGAAATACAAGACTTTACTTATCATATTATTAATTTTGTGAACCTTACATAGATATTTATATGTGCATATATATAAGTATATTATATACTTGAATTTTCTGATAAAGCACGCAAATATTTGTAAGCTTTGATTTATAGTTTCTTTAATTGTCTCAATTTTATTTATTTTATATATACTCTTTGTTTTTTATCAAATTATTATTTATATACTCTCTAAAGCTCATGGAATGAATTGAACTCTTAGCGTCATGTCATTTGCAATATTGTGAATCACCTAATATACAATTAGTTTGAATTGTTGCTGTAAATTAATTTTAAAAATTATCATTTTTTGTGGAATTAGTACTAAAACATTAAAAAAAAATAAAAAGGATATATCAGTTAATGTTAATATTTTCCATATAAGTACTTGCAACAATAGCCGTGATATCTCTTCAAAATTTCTAATGAATAAACACACTAAGAAAGAGATAAAAATGTAATATACCACCAGTATTAAAATACAAGTTTGATTATATTATATAATTTCTAGGATTTCTTAATTATCTAAAGAATATTTATCATATTTTCTACATGTTCTGTTTAAGAAAGTGAGAATAATGGAATTCTTATCAATATTTATACAATATATATTTTTGTGTATACACATATATCATGCACATTTAATTTTTACAAAACATAAAATTCAAAATATTTAAAATATAATTGTCTAAATTTAAACATATTTAAAAAAAAAATGGAATAAAGCCTGAAGAAACCTAAAATTATTTTTCATCTTTATAAACTATCATTGAAATTATAACACACTTGGTATGTAAATTTGTATAAGTATATATATACATATTTGTATCTATTTCTTTATATGTGCGGTTTGTGTATGTAAATATACCCATAAATATATAATTTTCTTTTCTAGCACCTTGTATAATTAAGGTGAACACTAAAGATTAAGTTGCCTGTCAATCAATCATTCAATAAAATTTCGTGATTACAAATTTACAAGATTTTTATAATTATTTCTTTTCTTATACATTATTATAATCATATTTAAATTAACTATATATACACATATATGTACTGACATACATACATACATACACTTTGCGAGCCCTTTATAACATAAAGTATAGGTATTATGTATGTGATTTAAAAATTTTCAACTCTAATAAAATCATAATCAATAAGAAACCGAACACAATAAAAATAAGAATAGGACCTCAAAAGTTCAAAGAAAAAGTTCATCGAAAAAATTTTTTAACGAAAAAAGAAAAAAAAAAAATTAAAATTTTTTTCTCTTTTGTTAATTATATTGTACATATTTTGAAAAGTACAAAATAGCACTCATATGTCGTATAAAAATTCACTAAAAATTAATGCTCATACCATATAGCCCTTTAACCTATGGGCTATACATTATGCACACATTTAGTATAGTTGAAAAAAAAAATTTTTTTTTTGAACAAATTCTTATAAATATTCAAGTATATCTTACAACTATCTTACAATCAAATATAATCAATCTTTTCTGTTTTTTCTTTTATTGAAATCTTATACATATTGTATTGTTCTCAAAATTATGCGCTGACAGTATTACCCACTATATGTATGTACATATTTTATATATACATATAGGTATTGCGGGCTACGATGGCGTTAAAAAAATTTCAATTAATAATTGTACACGCAGTATACATGCACGTATGTATATATGTGCTATGGTGTACTTGCACTTGATATGGGGCTCAAAGTTTTCATATTCTTTCGATCTAAAATTTTGTTAAAAAAAAAATTCTTTTTTATATTTTAATAAAAATAAAAGTAGCATGAATCATGTGGTGTCCAACAATTTGTTATAATGAAAAAAA